ACACCAGGGCCTGGGGCTCTGCCTGACCCCTGGCCCTGGGGTGAGCCCTGGGGGGGCTCAGTGGAGGGAGCCGAGGCTGAGGGCGCCTGCTGAGCCCTGCCCGCAGCAACCTGGTTCCTGGGGACTGCACCTCTGTCCCCCAGGGCGCACCCCCGGGGCCAGCCAGGGTGACAGCGCAGTGACAGCCTGCTGGGGTGGTTGGCAGGGAGGTGTGGCTGCCCAGCCTGGGATCGAAAAGCTTCCAAGGCGGTTTCAGGCAGCCTGGAACTCCTGGGGCCTAGGTGGGGACTTGAAGACAGAGGCCTGGCTGACCACTGAGCAGCCTGGAAGGGGGCAGGCGGCAGGGTAGGGTGGAGGAAGGGGCGCCCGGCTTGGGGTGTTGCTGATGGGGTAGGAGAGCGTGAAGGACTCAGAGTTTGTGTGGCTGAAGAGGTAGGCCCGGGTCGACGGGCAGGTGGACAACTGCGTGGCCAGGTCGCGAGGGCCCTGGGGGGCATCGGCGGTGGGGCTCAGGCCCCTGCCCCACTGGGAGCCGCAGCCCTCAGAGACACCGGGCAGTGAGCTCTGTGGATGGAGACCCAGAGTGCCCTGAGGGTCCAGCCCCGTCTGGGGCAACCCACACCCAGTGCTTGGTCCTCCCTCAGCCCAGCAGCATGCCTCCCCCTGGAGCCCCTCCCTGACGGCCCCTTGGCTGCGGACAGCCCCCCGAGGAGGAGTGGAGGCCCGGCCCTGAACCTGAGCCGCAGTGGGGTGCGGGACGGGCTGTGGGGGTGTCTGAGAGGCGCAGCGGAGGTGGCTGGGAGGTTTCCCACGAGACCGTCCCCCATGTGGCCCTCCTCGGCCACCCCCCACCCCAGGGGCGGCTGCATCCCGCTGAGGGGCCCTGGGACCGCCCCCCCCCCAGCTCCTCCGCCATCTCAGCGCCCACCGAGGGGCACCACGTGCTCCTTCCCGTGATGCAAACCCACACACAGCCACGCACCCCTCCCCCCTCCCACCCTGGCGAGGGGCAGCGCGGTGTCGTCTGGGGGCGGGTGCCCCTGATGCCCCCAGGGCGTCAGTGGGGAGCTGCAGGGGCTCGGGTGCCGGGCTTCTCCCCAGAGGGGGCCCCAGCTGGGCGGACAGCACCCTAGTGGGTGGGCCGTCCCCACTGTCTTGGCTGTGCCGGGTGAGGACAGGGTGCAGGGTGTACCCGTGACAGATGAGGGGCCGCGCCGGTCCCACCACACGGAACCTGGGCCCTGCGCCCCCAGACCCCCTCCCCCAGCTTGCTTCCCTGCAGCCTGCAGCTCCCTCGGCCTGGGACCCTCCCCACTGCAGAGGGCTCCCTGCGCCAGGCCTGGGGGCCCCAGGTCAGAAGTCGCCTGCCCCTGGGATGCACGTGGGGGTCTCAGGAGCCCCTTGCCACCATCTGTGCCAGGAGGGTGGGGTGGGGTCTCCAGCCCAGGGTGGGCAGACAGGTGACAGACTCTCTCTTCTCCCCGCGGCAGGAGGTGGGGCCCGAGGCAGCCGAGGCCTCCCAGTCAGCACGATCGTCGACGTGGACCGTGTGGCTGGCTCAGCGCCTGGGCCGGGCAGCAGCATCCCGGGGGTGTGGACGGGGCCCCGGAGGTCACGGGCTGGCGGGACGCTGACATCAGACCGCCCCGGCCTGAGCCCCGTCCTGGGGGGACCTGCCAAGCCCAAGGCCGGCCCACACCACGCCACCTTCGTCTGAGGCTGCCGCCCGCGCACCCGACCCAGCTGGCCGGCCCTCCCTCCCGTCCCGGCGTCCCAGCCGCCTGCCTGGACACACACGTGGAGAGCAGAGATCCCGAGGGAGCTGCTGAGCCTATCTCGAGGGCCTCGGACGGGCCTCCTCAGCCACCCCTGGGGGCCGAACCAGCAGAGGGTGGGGAGGGTCCTGGCCCCGGACACTCGCCAGCGTTGGCTCAGGGCTCCCTGGCCCCTGCCCCAGCTCCCGCTCGGTGTCCAGCCTTCCCGCAATAAAGCGTCTTTGAGGACCAGATCGTCGGCCTCGTGCCTGGTCCTGGGGCCCGGACCCTGCCCTCAGGGAGCCGTTGTTCCCGTGGCCCTGTGCGTGTATCGGCAGGGGGCTGGGGAGAACCGGCTCTCGGGGGTGAGGTCGGAGGTGAGCAGGGAAATAAGGCTGGCCTCGCGGGGCACGAGGCTTAGCCTGTGGGCAGTGGGACGTGGTCCTGCCCCGTCCAGGGCCCTGGTCTTGTCCACGTCACAGCGCCTCGTGCAGCTCGGTGCAGGGTCTCCTCTTGGGGTGGCCGCCGGTGGGGGCAGAGCTTGGCCTGGGGACCCTTCAGGCCACTCTGACCCAATCCCCTGCCCTTGGCCTCATTTAGGGAGGTGGTCTGGCAGGGCCTGTCTCTGGAGGGACCACCTCAGGGGAAGCCTGACTGCCCTGCCCAGAATGCCTGGGAAAGAGTGTCAGCCTGTGCAGGGGTCCTGAGGCTTGAGCGAGCCGGGAGGGGACGGGGTAGCAGGCCAGGCCAGTGGGCAGGGCTGCCGTGTGACGCTGGGTGGGCAGGGCAGATAGAGATGGCACCGTCAGCCCAGGTGCTTCGGCGGAACCCCGGCGCTGAGCAGCTGAGGGGCCCCCGGCACCCCTCCCTCCTCCGAGATGCATGTCAGGTTTGTCAGAAGGGCTCTAGGCCTGAGCGCGCCCTGGCCGCTGGGCTGCTCTGGGTCCTCCCAGGGAGCTGTGCTCTGAGCTGGGGGTGCCCGCGTGGAAGAGAGGGCCCGGCACCCACCGCGTGCCAAGCTGGGTACCCACTCGGTTTCTGCTCTCGCTCCGTCTGCACAGAGGGGAAAACGGGGGCCCAGAGAGAGTGCGATTTGGGGGTGCACAGTGAGACAGCTGCAGCGCCGGGCCCATCCCCAGGCCAGCCCTTCTCTCCACCCCATGCAGGCAGCTGAGCTGACTCATGGGGACCGGGCCACCCACCACCACCACCCCCGCCGCCTCCGCGGCCCCTCAAATTGCAGAAGAGGTTCCCGTGGCAGCTCTGCCTGCAGGTGCAGTCACGAACCAGGGGCCAGCTGGGGCGACAACTGTGGCCGTGTCTGGGGGGTGACACCCCAGTGTCCGTTCACAGACCTGGGCAGGACCCCAAGCCAGGTCTCTGTGGCCCTGGTGCCTGGCCGGGGCTTGGGATGGGAAGGAGGGCAGCCCAGGACAGAGGCGGGATGGCACGGGTGGTCCCGGCTACGAGGGGAAGCCCAGGGGCGAGAGGGCTTCCTGAGGGGGTGCCCCAGCGGGTCCAGGAGCAGTGGGGACGGGGAGCTAGGACGGCAGGCAGGGTCTCTGGTATTGCCCACCTCCTCCGCTCCACTCCCCCTCCCCCCGGAGGCCCCACCCCAGGCTCGTCCTGGGAGCCACAGGCAGAAGTGCTGTAGAGTAGGGTGGCAGAGGTCCCTGTCCCAGGGGGCATTGTGTGCAGTGGTGCACACACCCTCCTCTCTGTGCCTGGCCTCTTGCTGGCCAGGGGCCACATCCCATGCTCCAGGCCTGGGCCCTCAAAAGGGCTCAGCATGTGTAGGTGCTCTGGTTAGTATAGCTCACAAATAGACAGTGGCCAACCCTGTGGCCAGGTAGGGACCGGAAGCTGGGGCTGTGGGGGTCCAGGCCCCTTCCTGCCGTGTCATCCTGGAAGACTTCCTGGAGGAGGTGTCGTAGCTGAGACTCGAGGACATTGTCAGGTCCAGGACCAGCATGGCTGAGGCCAGAGGGGCCGGCTGGCTCAGGCAGGGTGAGCTGGGCAGCAGACATGGGGGACGTGTGGGCCTGGCACGGGAGGCAGCCAGGGTTAATCATTTCCAGGCGGCCTTGACCCCCACCTGCCCTGGCCACTCTGCTCCCGCCTCCTGCTGCTCCTCACGCCAGCCCAGGAGGAGCCATGGGGCGCTGGGCCTGGGTCCCCAGCCCCTGCCCCCAACTTGGGCTGTCCCTGCTCCTGCTGCTGCTGCTGCTGCTGGTGCCTCGAGGGGCTCAGCCCCAGGCTGGCAGGGTGAGCACTGACCCCACTGCACTGTGATCATGGGCTCTCCGTGCCCACTCTGGGTCCTGGGGCTGAGGCCAGGGCAGGGTGTGGGGTGGGTGAAGGGCCCAGCGTGGCGACGGCCAGCCTTCCGGGGGTGAGGTGGGCGTGCTGGGCTGGCCTGGGGGACAGGGGGCCTGGGGATCCAACCTGCTGGCCCCCACCCAGGGGCATGGAGACTGTTCGCCTCTCTGGGTCCACGTGTTTGAGGTGGGGGCGGGGGGGGGCCGCTGAAGGCCTCGCAGCTGCTCTCGTCCGTCCGCCAGAACAGACCCCCAGGGTTCGAGCCTGGAGGGCAGTGGTGCCAGCCTGGCAGACCCTGAGCCAGCTCAGCCTGACTCCTTGGACTCGGTGGGAGGGGAGGGGACAGGGTCCAGCTGAGGCCGTGGGAGAGCCAGTGTCCCCTGGTCCCTACTCCAAGACCTCAGGGCCCCAATATGGAAACTGAGTCAGGGCCTGAGTGTGAGCGGGGTCCATCCCACACCGACCCCATCACAGGCCTCTCGGCTCTTCCTAGAACCCAACGGAACCCCCAGAACGTAACGCCACGGTGACCCCTGGGACTCCCGCGATCCCCGTGACCTCGGTGACCCCCAGGACCCCAGCCACAGCGACAGCACCCAGGGCAGAGGGACCCCATGGTGGAGGGCTTACCCACCTGCCCAGGGCAGCCCCCTCCAATAGCAGCCCTGGGGGCACAGGTGGGTCAGGAAGGCTTCTTGGAGGTGGCAGGCTACACCTAGATGGGGGGTCTGGAGGAACACAGCAGCACTTAGGGAGTGGGGTATGTGATGGGGGTGGGAGGTGACCAGCGCGGAGCCCTTGACCCCCGTGTCTCCTCCAGCAGTGCTCACCGAGGCCGGGCAGCCCTGCAGGTTCCCCTTCCGCTACGGCGGCCGCATGGTCCACTCCTGCACTACAGAGGGAAGCGCCCACAGGAAGTGGTGGGTCCCAGTCCCTGTGCCCCGTGCCCGCCCTGGAGACGCTTCCGCTCCCTGCCCTCCGTACTCCACACTGAGCCTGGCACACAGCAGATGTAGTGAATGAATGAATGAGGGAGTGCATGGGAGAAAGCCCCAGAGTGGTCAGCGTGGGTCCCTGCGTGAGTTGGGGTTACGGTGGGCGGGTCTCTGGCCTGGGACCCCCACGTCACCGCATGCGTCACCCCCAGGTGTGCCACGACTCACAACTATGACCGGGACAGGGCCTGGGGCTACTGTGTGCAGGCTTCCACCCCCCGGGAGGGCCCAGGTGGGTGCCGGGGGTCTGGGCCCGAGCGCAAGCTAGGAGGGGGCTGGGCCGGTGGTGGCGGTGAGCTTGAGGGGCGTCAGAGCTGACCTGGGGCTGGGGTCCTGCCTGGTGTGCAGGAGGGGGCTTCGGGGTTCATCCCACTGCAGGCCTCGGGGCCTGCAGGAGTGGGGAGTGGGGAACACCCTGCCCCGCAGGTCCTGCCCTCTCGGGGGGGCCACATAACTGCTTTGGCCATTGCCGGGGGTCATAGCGCCCCCTGGTGGTCAGGCTGGGCCCTGCGGCTGCACAGGAACAGCCCTGGACGTGGAGGGGGCCCAAGGGGTCCGCAGGGTGTGGTGCTGGCAGCCCCGCTTACAAGGGTCCATGGGCACACGGAAAAGGACTGCGCTGCCTGATGGGGGTCGGGCTTTCAGGGTGCTGGATGCAGAGCCAGAGGCCCACTTGCCCAGGGTCTGAGAGCTGGGCAGAGGATGTGGTGAGGAGGGGGAAGGCCTGCGCTCACTCCCAGGGCACGTACACACCATGGCACTCAGGAGGGGCATCTTTAAGGTGGCGAGAGTCACGGCGTGGGGAGGGAGTCACGAGGCCCGGCCGGGCTCTCAGGCACACCCCTCCTTGCTGCGTGTGCCCAGCTGCCCTGGACCCATGTGCCTCTGGCCCCTGCCTCAACGGGGGCTCATGCTCCAGCACCCAGGACCCCGAGTCGTACCACTGCACCTGCCCCGTGGCCTTCACTGGCAAGGACTGCGGCACGGGTGAGCAGGGTGGGGGCTGCAGGGCAGGGGGCCGCCAGGCGCACGCGCGGGGAGCAGCGGCTCACTGTGCTGCCCCCAGGGAAATGCTTTGACGAGAGCCGCTACGAGTACCTGGAGGTGGGCGATCGCTGGGCCCGCGTGCACCGGGGCCAAGTGGAACAGTGCGAGTGTGCGGGGGGCCAGGTCCGGTGCCAGGGCACCCGCCACACAGGTACGGGGGGGCGGGCCGTATCGCTGGGCCTCCCACCCAGGCAAGGGGCTCGTCCAGGGCCACCCAGAGACGGGCACTGGGTGGGAACCAGGCCCTGCCCCTGCCCCTCGAGGCCCAGCTTCTGAGCCCTCCCCCCAGCTTGTCTGAGCAGCCCCTGCTTGAATGGGGGCACCTGTCACCTGATCGTGGCCACCGGGACCACTGTATGCGCCTGCCCCCCAGACCACGCCGGGCGGCTCTGCAACATTGGTGAGTCGCTCGACTTCAGAGCTGCGTGGCCCCGCGTCCTGGGGCCCAGGCTCACCGCGCACCGTGCCGCCCGCAGTGCCGGCCCAGTCCTGCTTTGTGGGGAGTGGCACCGAGTACCGAGGCGTGGCCAGCACGGCGGCCTCGGGCCTCAGCTGCCTGGCCTGGAACTCCGACCTGCTCTACCAGGAGCTGCACGTGGACTCTGTGGGCGCCGCGGCCCTCCTCGGCCTGGGGCCCCACGCCTACTGCCGGTCAGCACCGGGTGGGCGGGGCCTGTCCCTGGGTCCTGACCCCTCGGCTTGGGAGGCTTTGTGGCGAGAGGAGCCCAGGGCCAGGGATCGGAACCACCTGCAGAAGGGGCCAAAGGCTGTGGGGTGCGGGTGGGCAGAGTGCCAGGAGCCGCACCCAGCTAGGGGTCCCCAGCTCTCTCCTCCCATCCGTCACTGAGGAGCCGTGACTGACTCCCCTGCCCACCTGCTTCTCCCTGCACCCCAGGAACCCGGACAAGGACGAGAAGCCCTGGTGCTACGTGGTGAAGGACAGCGCGCTCTCCTGGGAGTACTGCCGCCTGGCAGCCTGCGGTGCGCGCAGCTAGTGGCTGGGTGGGAAGCAGCAGGGTGGGGGCAGCACTGGCCCCGCCCCCGCTGAGATCACCGTGGTTTCGCCGTGGCCCAACCCACTCCACCCGCATGCCAGGCCTCCTCTCTCCGGAGGACCACGGCCCCATCGGAGAGATGGGGAAACTGAGGCTCACCAGAGCAGGGCTGGTCCAAGGCCACGCAGTGGGTTGACACCAGAGGTCAGAGCAGGCGAGCTGGTCACCGGGTCCTCTGGGTGGTCCAGCCGGGCTGCACTGTGCCAGGACGGTCCCCAGAGACAGGGAAGTGTGGGTGCACGTGGATAATGTGAGTACCCTGGAGTCAGACCCTGGCAGTGGGCTGCTCCATGAGGCCAGCCCGCCCCCCGGCCCCGTGCTCCAGGCCTCTCTACCATCCCGAGTTGGCTCTGGGGTCCCAGGCTGCTGGGAAGGACACGAATACCTGCCAGGTGTGCCAGGCCACCCTGGTTCCCACAAAGCCTTGTGACTGGGTGCGGTTCTCACCATCCTGCAGATGAGGAAACTGAGGCTCAGAGTAAGTCATGTGCCCACAGGGGCAGAGCTGGGGACCCTCTTTCAGACGAACTGCCTAGGCTGGGTCAGGAGGCAGGTGAACCACGGGGGACCTGAGGATGGTGGACGCAGCCAGTACCCTCTCTGGCCTGGGGTGTGCAGAAGGGACCCGGGGTGTGTGAGCGGGTAACCTGTGATCCCAGGATCCCTTGCCAGAATCCAGCCCCCGCCCACCGAGGCCCTGCTGAGCCTGCCTGGGCCCGCGGCAGCTGGACCAGCCGGACGCCAGACCTGTGGCAAGAGGCACAAGAAGAGGAGCTTCCTACGGCCACGCATCATCGGTGGCTCGTCCTCGCTGCCCGGCTCCCACCCCTGGCTGGCCGCCATCTACATCGGGAACAGCTTCTGTGCCGGGAGCCTTGTCCATACCTGCTGGGTGGTGTCTGCCGCCCACTGCTTCTCCAACAGGTGAGCGGTTCTGGCCCCAGTGTCCACGACCCCTGCGCCATCCCTCAAGCCATCCACCTCTCCACCCACCGCTGTCTAGGCCTCCGCTCCCCCACCCGGCCATACACCCATCATCCACTCTCTACCCGCTACCCATCTACGCACCCACCCGCCTGTCCTAACCATCACCCATGTGTCCCCACGTTCCGCCACCTACCCGTGTAAACCCCGTCCTTTGGTCCCTCCGTTCCCCGTTGCCCCTCTGACTGAGGTGGGACTCAGCGCTCAGCCCAGTGCTGGGCATGGAGACTGCCGAGACCCGCCCCATTCCTGCCCCGGGGTGCTGTCCCTGTCCCTGCCCGTGTGGCCGCGCAGCCCTGGTCCTCGCCCCGGGAGCTCCAGGTCTCCCCGCTCAGGGCGGGGCGGGGCGGGGCGGCCAGCGCGTGCGCGGCAGGGTGGTGGGTGTGGCCCGTGCCTCGCAGGGCCCGCCCCTTCCGGCCTCGCTCCCCCGGCCCAGACCGAGCTGGTGGCACCGTGGGGCGCAGGGAGCCCGAGGCCCCGCCCACTCGGCGGGCTACCGGAGCGGAGGGCCGGCTGGGGCTGGCGGCTGGGGGAAGGGTCAGGGGTGCGAGGCCCACTACCACACCCCAGGGTGGGGGACAGCGAGCTCAGGGCAAGAAAGGCCAACCCGTCCCCCGCTGCTCACGGCTGTGACGAGAACAAGGCTCTGCCGTGGGGAGTGGGGGGCTCTCTCTGAGGGAGGGTTCAGTGGGAGGGAACGGGCCTGACAGTGGCATCCCAGGGAGTGGGACATGAGCGGGGGCTGGGGGCTTGGCAGCGTGAGAGTCCGACGGTGAATCCCCATGAGTCACCCCAGGGACTACAGCGTAGGGGTGGGGGGCAGTGGGCATACGTCCTGCCCTGTGCTGACCGCTGTGCGACCTGTGAAACAGGACCCCTGAGGCCTCCCCAGTATGGATGGGATGGGGGTGGTTAAGAGGCTGGAGAAGGGGAGCAGGCATCCTCTGCTCACGTCCAGGGAGGGGCTGGGGAGGGCCAAGCTGGATGGAGGGGCCCGTCCCCTGTGGGCTGGACCCCAGCACCCTGGTCCCTGGCCTGGGCCAAGCAGGGCTGGAGGAGGTGGGTGGGACAGGTCATTCGTGCGCAGGTGCGGGGGGTGAGGGGAGTACTCAGGCTCCTGGGCCCACGGGTGACTTCACAGGAGGCCTGCCCCTGTAGCAGGGGCGTGGGGCAGAACCGGTGCCCAGAGCTGGGATCCGCAGCAACGTGGGTGCATGTCAGCGCAGACCCCACCTAGACCTGCACAAGGCACCCCAGGGTCATTCATGCCGCTGCCTTAGAGGCGGTGCTGCCAGGACGGGGGCTGTGGCCCTAACTCCCCACTCCCTACTGCACTACGGCCCACACCCCAGCCCCTGCTCAGGTCTCTCCCAGGGCCTGGTGGGGGCGGGGGCCCTGCACAGCGTCACCCTCCTGGGATCGTCTACCGGATGCTCTGTCCCCGTGGGTAGGGGGCGAGCTGACCTCAGGGGCCCGAGAGTCATGCTGCCACCAGCTCCCACTGCACAGCCCCCCCAGGGAAAGTGTCTCTGTGGTGCTCGGCCAACACTTCTTCAACCGCACGACGGCCGTGACGCAGACGTTCGGCATAGAGAAGTACATCCCGTACCCCTTGTACTCGGTGTTCAACCCCAGTGACCATGACCTCGGTGAGGCTCGGGACCGGTGCTGTGTGCTCTGTGCACACCCAGGGCCAGAGCCAGGAGAGGCTGGAAGTGGGTGCCAGGCAGGGGAGGGTCCTCAGACACTCAGGGGATGGGTGGGAGGGAGGGGGAGGGCGGGGGGAGGGCAGCGAGAGCAGCTGGTGTGGCCAAGTGGCCTCGGCGCGGCTGGAGGAAACCCTGGCTGCCCAGCCTCGCTGGCCCTCCTGTCGCCTCCTGGGCCTCCCAGGCCGCAGCCCCTCTGCCCGGTGGGGCTGGACCCCGTGTGACCCAGCAGCCACCTTCGGCCCATCGTGGGCCCCCATGCTGCAGGCTGACCCCCTGCCTCTCTCCCGTCCAGTTCTGATCCGGCTGGAGAAGAAGGGGGAGCGCTGTGCTGTCCGCTCCCAGTTCGTCCAGCCCATCTGCCTGCCTGAGCCCGGCAGCACCTTCCCGGCTGGGCACAAGTGCCAGATAGCGGGCTGGGGCCACCAGGATGAGAGTGAGTGGGGTGGGCGCGAGGGGCCAGCGTCGTGCCCCCCGGGAGCAGCGGCCCAGCCCCGCAAGCCTCGCCCAGGCTGAGTGCCCCCTGTCGGCCGTCAGATGTGAGTGGCTACTCCAGCTTGCTGCGGGAGGCCCTGGTCCCCCTGGTCGCCGACCACAAATGCAGCAGCCCGGAGGTGTACGGGGCCGACGTCAGCCCCAACATGCTCTGCGCCGGCTACTTCGACTGCAGGTCTGACGCCTGCCAGGTGAGCCGGGACGGCCGCCCCGGGAGCACCCCCAGATGGGCGCTCACTATTGCTGGAGGCCCGGGGGCCAGGAGTGGGGTCCCTGCTCACAGGGGGCGGGGATTGAGGCCCGGGAGGGGCCGGCTCCCAAAGCCCAGGCTCGGGCCAGCTGTCCAGCCAAGGGCAGGGCTGGCCACGTGACGTCGAAGGCCAAACCCCTTTTCACCCAGAGTCCTCCCAAGTGGGCTCGAGCGATCGGCCGATCCCAGTGTGCCGTTTCTCAAGGGCTCCTCGGGTCTGCACATCGGTGCTGAGTCGGAGAAGCTGCTTTACTCCCCACTTTTATAGGTGGGGAGACTGAGGCCCAGAGAGGTCTGCTCACTCTTCCCAGGTCACACAACTCACAGGTGGCAAAGGGGGGGGGGCTCGGCACTCAACCACGTGGTACAGCAAGCGCCCTGGGGGAAGTCAGAGGTGGCTTCATGGAGGAAGGGGCGCTGGCACTTGTCCCAGGGGGTGAATAGGGGTTTGCCAGGTCTGCTGGAGCACGGGGCCGCCTGGTGCACATGGTGGGCGGAGGGGGGACCCAGATGGAGGAGGGCTCTGCTGGTTGTGGAGGCGAGAGGGGGCCGCAGCAGCCCACTACTGGGAGGACGCCCTGCCTATGCGGTTGGGGGAAGGGGGGCAGCCCCCTTACTTGGAATACCCATGTCATCTGTGCCCAAGCTCTCGGGAAGCCCACCTCGAGGGTTGACCCCTCTGGAGGCATGTTCCGGGTTGGGGCGAGGGAGCCTGGGGTGAGGGGGTGGTGGACTGTTTCATGGGTGTCGAGGAGCTGAGCCGTGAGCCTCCTGAGCCGGGCCCCAGGCTCTGACCGGCCGCTCTGTGCAGGGGGACTCAGGCGGGCCCCTGGCCTGCGAGAAGAACGGCGTGGCCTACCTGTACGGCATCATCAGCTGGGGTGACGGCTGCGGGCAGTTCAACAAGCCCGGCGTCTACACCCGCGTGACCCGTTACGTGGACTGGATCAGCGACCGGATTCGGCCCCCCAAGCGGCCCGTGAATCCCTCCTGAGACCACCCCTGGGGACATCGTGCCTCCTGCCGTTCCCTCCTCACTGGCAATAAACGTGTTTCCAAAAAGACCCCGGCCCACACTGCCTGTGCCGCTGCCGCCAGCTCAGCCTTCCCCGCCCCCAGGCCGTGACCCCCGACCCAGCTTTGTGGATGCTGTGGCTTCAGGGCTGGGGCCCCCAAGCCAGCACCCCAGCTGCTCAGAGGAGAAGGGAGCCTGTGACCCCACAGGGAGGGTCTGGCCCCACGGCCTGGGCAGTCAGGACGGGGATCCAGACGAGACCTTCTCCAGAGCAGGAGCTGTGCCCAGCCAGACCCCGCTCAGACCCTCCCCCAGGCAAGTGGGGCTTGGGTCCGGGCGCCTTGGGCTGTCCCACGGCAGCGGACGCTAGAACTTAGGACAGGTTATTTGGGAAAACCCCTGGCTATCATTTTGCTTCAAGGAGGCAGCCCGCCCGACTGCAGCTCTCCCTCAGCCGTGTTTTCTAGGCGGGGAGAACTGGAGACTTCCTCTGAAGGAAGCCAGGGGAAGGGAGGAGCCCCAATGCCAGGGTGAGTGGAGGGTAGTGGGTTGCGCCAGCCAGGCAAGACACTGTGGGTACGGGATCTGAGATGCCCAAAGGGCCCAGAATCCTGGGCCAGAGGAAGCAGCACATGCAAAGGTCCCGAGACAGGAGGCTGATAGTGGCTTTTTTTTTTTTATAAATTTGTTTGTTTATTTATTTATGTATTTATTGGCTGTGTTGAGTCTCCGTTGCTGCGCGTGGGCTTCCTCTGGTTGCAGCGAGCGGGGGCTGCTCTTCTTCGCGGAACACGGGCTCTAGGCGTGCGGGCTCAGTAGTTGTGGCTCGCGGGCTCTAGGCGCGCGGGCTCAGTAGTTGTGGCGCATGGGCTTCGTTGCTCCGCAGCATGTGGGATCTTCCCGGACCAGGGCTTGAATGCGTGTCCCCTGCATTGGCAGGTGGACTCTTAACCACTGCGCCACCGGGGAAGCCCCTGGTAGTGGCTTATTTGAATCAAAGTAAGGAACTGCGGCTGAGGCCAAAGAGGGTGGGACTGTGTGTGGGGGGGGGTGGGCTGTAGTGAGGTGCTGGGGGTGTCCCAAGTGTCCCTGATGGGACAGCAGGGTGGGGATGTGATGACATTTGTGGTCAGGAGAAGAGGCCTGGGTGTATGGGGGTGGGTCAGAGCGGTGCCCGGTGCTGGGACCCCTGGTCTCAGGGAGGGTCAGGAAGAGGGTGGCATTCAGCGCATCCAGCCCCAGCCCCACCCATCCTGCTCTGGGCATGGGGCCCCTGCCCAGAGCAGCCCAGAGGGTGGGGTCCTTCTCCCCACAGTCCCTACTCCCCTCTGCTGTCATCTCCACAGCTCCACCTGGACCGGGTCTCGCCGCCTGTCCCGGGTGACACGCCAGGGCTTCCTCCATGTCACCCCTCCCATCTGGGAGCCTACCTCCAGTCTCTGTGTGGTCTGACTCCACCTGCCTCCAGCCCCTCTTCTGCCCCCACAACTGCACTCTGACCACTCGGGCCTTCTTGTGTTCGTGAAACTGACCAGGGCCCTTGCGGACGGTGCTCCCACTAATGCCTAGAACATTCCCTCCCGTACCGCCCCTCCCCCTTCACTCAGCCTTTGGAGCCCCGAGAGGTCTGACCGTTGCCTGAATGGGGTCCCATGGCCACACCCAGCTGCAGAGGAAGCCGGGAGGGCAGGGAACAGGGTTGTCATGACAGGACCAGACAAATCACCAGGGACGTGCACTGCCCCCAGCAAAGCCGGAGGAAGAGAGACGGGCACTGGGAGGACAGCAGTGTGTGTGCCCATCGCCCCAAATGCCGGGGGTGGGGCTCAGAGCCCTGAAGCGGACTGGGACGTGCTGCTGAAGCCCCACCACGTTGACTGCAGCCAGGGCAGCGGAGGCGGGTGCCGGTGCCCAGGAGCGTGGAGGGTGGAGCAGCTCCCACTCGTGACTCTCGGACCTCCGACCGCCTGTTCTCGGCTCCAGGAAGCGTGTTGCTTCAGTCCCACCGCACCTCTGCCTGACGTGAGCTCTCCCTGACCTCCTCCCCTGCGAGTGCCGAGCGTGGATCTGTTAAAGAGGTGACGTGCATTTATAGACGGTCTAACGTCAAGCCAGCCTTGCATTCCTGTAGTGAGCCATGCTGAGTCAGGGTGGGAGCCAGCTACCTTCCGTCGGCTTCTCCAGATTTATTCCCCACCTTGCCCGGTGCCCCATAGGCTGATCTTGATGGACTGTGTCAGTGGGCTCCTGCGCCCTTTGGGGGAGCCCCAGCAGGAGGTCAGAGGAGGGAGGAGTGTGAGGTTGGGGTGCTGATTTCCCTGGCTGCCTCTTCTGGGGTCGCCTCAGTGTTATAGGTTGGATTGTGTCCTCCCCAAGCTCGTATATTGGAGTCCTAACCCCTAGGACCTCAGAATGTGACCTGATGTGGAAAGGGGATCTTTAGAGAGTGTGGGGCCTGATCCAATATGAGTGCGTTCCCCTAAGAAGGGGAAATTTGGACGCAGAGACATGCATAGAAGAAAGATGATGTGAAGAGACACAGCGGGGAGATGGCCCCTCAACAAGGCAAGGACAGAGCCTGGAGCAGGTCCTCAACCGTCAGAAGGACCAGCCCTGCTGGCCTCCAGAATGGTGAGACGATTTCTGTTGGTTAAGCCCCCGGTCTGTGGTGCTTTGTGACGGTACCCCAGCAAGGGATACACCCAGATCCCTTAACTGAAGGCCGTGATCCTCCCAAGATGGAAATGACGCCCCTTCGTGGTTCAGGGAACCCCCCCACCTCAGGTCTAGAGGTGGTTCCACGGCTCTCTGACTGGCCAGGGGCTACACAGTCACGTACTGTGCCCCTTACGTACAAAGGTGTGGTTCCTTCCAAGAGCACACCTTTGTGAGTAATCCCTCCTTGAATTGTCCTAATGTAGTGTCAGCTGCTGGGGCCCTGGCTTACGCATTCTGTCATACTTTGTTATAAGTTTTTCCTGGATTGACTTAAAGTTTGTTTAGGGTTTTACATTTACGTTCCTGAGTGACACTGGCCTGTCATTTTCCTCTCGTATACTCTTGGAATGACTGTCTTATACTCTTTGAATGGCTGTACTGATCTCGTAGAAAGAGATCAAGAATGTCCCTTCTTTCCTGATCCACTGGAGGGCTGCAGAAAGCTGGAATGATCTGTGTTTTGAAAGTTTGGTAGAATCCCCTATAAAATTCCCTGGGCCCAGTGTTTTCTTTGCAGGATGTTATGTAACTGCTGCGTCATTTTTTCATGCTCTGGGACTTGTGGAGACGCTGTTTCTCCTTGAGCTGGCTTTCGGAAGTTACACTTCCGTGAGTGTATCTGTCTCCATTTCCACGTCTATTGCCGTAAAGCTGTTCGCGTGGCATCGCACCTCACACGTCAGCAGTTACTGGCTGTCAGCACTTGGGTGGTGTTCTGCTGTCTGCTGTCACTCCTGCTGAGAAATCTGCTTTAAGTCGAACTGTTGTTCTCTTGCCATGACTCCGCCCCCCAACCCCCGCCCGGCCGGCAGCCTTCGTGCCTTTTGTCTTTGCTGTGCCGCGGCCTCACCACCACACGTGCGGGTGGGGGCGTCTCCCCGACTCATCCCGCCTGCGGACTCCTGTTCAGCCTGGACGTTTGCCGGTGCCCTTGGCCGTGGCGACTCGGCGGGGTCCAGGCTCCTTCTCTGCAGAGCTTCCAGACATTGTGCATCAGAGTGCTGCTGCGATGACACAGATGACATCCAAACGCAGCGACGTACAAGCAGCCACGTACTGAGCTCACGACGCCGGGCGGGTTGGTAACGTGGCCTTGCTTGGCGGGGTGCTTCTCGCCACCTGGGCTGGCTCCGCCACGTACCTGGGTCGTCAGCGGGTCTTAGGCGGTTCTGCCCCCGGGGGCTGGCTGGCTCTTAGCTGGGGCCGTGGGGTGACCGGGCCACACGTCTTCTGTCATCTGGCAGGCTAGCCTGGGCCCGTTCACATGGTGGTGGCCGGGTTCCAAAGAAAGAGTGGACGTGAGCTGCTCAAAGCGGATTCCAGGGTAGAGAGGCAGGCTCCACCTCTTGGTGGGAGGAGGTCACATTTCAAGGGGTGTGGGTGCAGGGGAGGGGCCTTTGCAGCCATTTACTCAATCTTCCACACTGTCTGTGCCAGTCTGCTCGGGCTGCCTTAACAGAAGGCCACAGACTGCCGGGCTCACACAACAGAAATTTCTTGTGGTTCTGGAGGCTGAAGTTCAAGATGAAGGTCCGGTAAGGCTGATCTCTGGGGAGGCCTCTCCTCCAGGCTTGCAGACGGCCGCTGTCCTGCTGTGTCCTCACGTGGCCTTGCCCTGTGTGTGTGCTGAGAGAGAGAGAGAGCTCTGGTGTTTCTCCCTGTGTTTTAAGGCCACAGTCCTATGGGATTAGGGCCCCACCCTTATGACCTCATTTAACCTTAATTACCTCCTTAAAGATCCGATCTCCAGGGACTTCCCTGGTGGTCCAGTGGTTAAGGCTCTGCACTTCGATCCCTGGTCAGGCAACTAGATGCCGCACGTCACAACTAAAAGATCCCACGTGCCACAACTAAGACTTGTGCAGCCAAGTAAATAAATAAATAGATATTTAAATATTAAAAAAAAATCTCATCTCCAAATACAGTCATATTGGGGGTTAGGGCTTCAACAGATGGATTAGCGGGGACACAGTTGGGTCCATAACACCCCATCTCGCCATGCAGTGGATGAGGAGGGTGGCAGACGTGCAGGGCTGGGAGGTGGCGGTCATCACCTCCTCCCACTCTGCTGGCCAGAGCCCCTTCATGTGGCCCCACCCGACCGAGGGGAGCTGGGAATTGTGAAGGAGTGACACGGGGTATCGCTCGTGTGGACACAGGCATAGAGTTTCCCACGGTCAGCTGGTGTGTGTCCTTCTCCAGCCTCACTGAGCACCTGGAGATACGAGACAAGGCGGCCTGGCCCTGGTCCCCATCACTCCCTTGTGTTTGTGAAACCCGTGATCATTTTGAGAGACCCTCACATACATCATCTCATTTAGGGGCTCATCATAATAACGTCAGGCTGGAAGAGGAAAGAGGCCAGAAAAGTCGTGTGATGGTTAAAGTTCATTTGGATGGTGAACGGCAGGTGCAGCGACTGATGGCAGGTCCCTCGGCCGCAGAGCCACAGATGGGGTGACACTGCCCTGGGGCCATGGAGTCTGGCAGTGGTGGCAGTGTCCTTGGCAGTGATGTCCAGCAGCAGTGCCCGTGGCTGTGTGGCCAGCCGGTGGTACAGCTCTGACCCACGGTCGGGGGGCTTCTTGGAAGGCGGCTGTGGAGTCCGGCAGGGCAGTGGCGCAGGGCGGGCGTGGCGTCCGGTCTCACGAGCGTGGCTGTGCTCCCCTGGCGCCCTATCTCCTGCAGCTCCCGCTGGATCTGCACCTCCCCTGGGTTCTACTCAACACCCGACATTCTTCCAGCAGATTCCTTCCTGCTTCAGTGGCCAGAGTCAGCTTCTGCCACTTGCAACCAGCAACTCTGGCCGCAACAGCTGGGGAAACTGTCTTAGTCCGCTCGGGCTGCTATAACAAAAACACTGTAGACCGCGAGGCTAAAACAGCAGGTTCATTTCTCACAGGTCTGGAGGCCGGAGGTCAGAGATCAGGATGCCAGGCTGGGGTCAGGTGAGAGCCCTCTTCCAGGCGTGCAGATGTCTGCTTTCTGGCTGTGTCCTCAGTGCTGGGTGAGGAGAAGGAACTTGTCCCTCATGCCTCTTCTTATAAGGACAGTAATCCAGTCCTGGGGACCCCACCCTCGTGACCTCATCACCTCCCAAAGGCCTCACCGCTTCATACCATCCCCTTGGGGGTTGGGCTTCAACGTGAACTTGGGGGGTGGGGACACAAACATTCGGTCCACAGCAGGAACTTAGGAGAGAGAGGCCAGGAGCCCAGCCAGGGTCTGGGAGTGGGAGCCATGCAGACAGATCAGCCCACCTCTAAGTAGCCGGCGGGGGGCAGGGGGAGCCGTCTGTCCCCACGGCGGCCCGCATTCTCTCGGGCCAGTGCAGGAGCAGGTGCAGCTTCCAGGCACGGCAGGAGCCTGGGTCGGGTCCAGCGCTCGGGAATGCAGCGGGGCACTGACCCTCCCTGCAGGGATGACCAAGTGCCAGGCGCCTGGGGCGGCGGATGTGTTGGTGGCCACAGCCCCCAGCGCCACCAGGCTCCACGCCGGCTGTCCTGGGCCAGCCCCTGGGGGCCTGAGATGTGTGGGGAGCGTGAATGGGGCTCTGTGGTCGGGCAACTGCTCTGCAGAAGGCGGCTGGCGGCTGCACAGGTGCCGCTGGAGGTGGTGCTGGAGGAGGGGACACAGGAGACACAGAGCTGCTTCCTGGGCCTGGCGTGACACTGCTCTGCATTATGCCCTGGCAAGACATCCCCAGGGCATCTGAATGAGGGTGGTGCCCACCAGGGACCTGCCTTCTCAGCTCCCCAGAGACAGTGAGGAGGGGAGTGGGTGCCCAGAGAGGAAGGACCTGGCCCTCTCTGTGCCCAGCATGGTGGCTGCTGAGCTGGGACTCCAGCCCAGGGCTCTGCCTGCCCCCACAGATCCTGTGCCCCGCTCGGGGCTCAGCCAACGTGGGTCAGTCCTGGAGGCGCCCGCAGCTCTGAGCGTTAGTTCCTCCTCCGTGAGAGGCAAGACCTGGATGGGATGAAGATGCACACGCTTGTTCCCACCCAGGCGGATTTCAGGGTAACGGGACACCACTGAGCCCTCCCCTCTCCTCCCGGCGGGACATCAGCTCCCTTAGGGTGGGACCTCGGGTAGGGTACATTGCTTCTCCTCGCTCTTCTAGGGAGCTGCCCCATCTCTGCCACTGGCCCCTCGCCTTGTTGGTTGCTCCTGAAGGGGTGAATGTCAGAGGTTGTCTTAGAGATAGATGGGGGCTGAAGTCTGAGATGTCGACCTGCCAGGTCCCCCAACCACCTGGGTTCCCAAAGAACAGCGGGCAGCTGGACTGGAGCTACAGGGTGGAGGAGGGGAAATCCGGAAGGTCAGCGCTCCCCCACTGCAAAGGGGACTCTCGGGGGCCTTTATAGAGCAGCAGAGAACCTCTGTGCCATCCTTGCCCGGAGGGATAGCTCTCAGCCCCGGGGCGGGGGGGAAGGGGGAACCGAGACCGCGGCACTGTGGTCCCACTCACTACTGGGCAGCAACCTGCCCTGGGATTTCTGCTGCCAGGGGACGTGAATGAACCCTCCTCCATCACCCTGCCTGGGGAGCGGGGGTGGTCTGGGGGGAGCAGAGAGGGGGCTTGGAGGGCTGGGGGGCGGGGCAATGTTTCGGCCAGGGTCGACCCACGGTCATTCTGCGGTCAGCGGTGTCTGGTGACAGCTCGGGGTGGTGGGAGGGACAGGTGCCGGAGGGCGAAGCCAGCTCGGTTGAGGCGCACTTTAAAATTGGGCCAAGCGCTTGGACGCGCGGACGCCCCCTTCCCGTCCGGCGTTTCCTTTGCTTTTGGAGGGGAGCCCGCTCCCCCCGCCCCCCGCCCCGGGGTGAGCAGTGCCGGAGCGCCAGCGGCCGAGCCCCGCAATGTGCCTGGCTCCGGAGGGCGCTCAGGTGGCCTCAGGTGCCGCCGGGCGCAGCGCCGGGGCGGGGCGCCGGTAGGGCAGGGCCGGCTGGGCGCGCACCTCGCCCCGCCCGCGCGCCGCCCCGCCCGCCCCGCCGGCCGGCGCAGGGCCCTCCCGGAGCTATTTTGAAAGTGACCCTGGGCTGGGCGGCCGCGGGGCGGCGGGCAGAGGCGCGGCGGGCGCGCGGGAACCATGACAGAAGATGACCGAGGCGGC